ACTCCCTTTTCTCACCCTGTTGATCACCCTGTGTCCCGCTGGGTCTAATCTTCATATTCTGAAAAACAGCTCTGTGGAAGAAAACAAGAAGAAAACAATTATACATGAAATGGACCGCTCCACAGAGAAAATAACAAAATCTGGTAAATGTGTTTAAAAGTAAAACTTGATTCTATATTATATCAGCATTAAAAGCAAGGGAACGTGTCACCGACCTCCTAATTCTTTTATGGACAGATCCACAGAGATACTAGGGATGGCTTTAGACTATCCAGTGTAAGGTGTGTTAGTTACTAAATTAAACCGTGTTGGCACTGTAACAGCAGCCGGTTCCCTTATTTACCACTATAACGTCTTAAAGCATAGAACTTAGCAGGGCTAACCATGCAGATAGCCTAGCCATGATTTAATATAGTTAATATGAGATCCTCTATCTAAAATACATATAAATAATTAAGAATACAATATAAAATAAGGATTGTCTTGGAAGCAATAAAGTTTTGTCTTTTAGATATTTATTATATAAAAATATAAATATACACATATAAAATTCATTACCATAATTTATAGCAGAGTTTATAAGATTAACCCCTTCCCAGCCCAGGATGGTTCAGGACCGTCATCGGGATTTTCCCATTGCGGACCGATGACGGTCCTGAACCGTCCTAACCGTCCCGGCGGCGATCAGTGTTGCTCCGGTTGTGGGGAGACTGCCTGCAGCCCAGACAGTCTCCCCACACTGAATTAGGACCCCTGTGGCCATGTGATCGCTTAATACAGCGATCACATGGTCACAATAGGTGTCCTAGTGTCTGCCTGCAGGGGGACTGTCTGTGCTGACAGTCCCCCTGCACAGACACTAATATTTGTGTTCAGCGATGTCTCCCGAGTAAAACAGTACCCCCCATGTACAGGTTTTATAGCATTTTTGAAAGTTACAAGGTCAAATATATGGGTCAAATATTTTTACATTGAAAATGTCCAGGTTGGTTACGTTGCCTTTGAGAGCGTATGGTAGCCCAGGAATGAGAATTACCCCCATGATGGCATACCATTTGCAAAAGAAGACAACCCAAGGTATTGCAAATGGGGTATGTCCAGTCTTTTTTAGTAACCACTTGGTCACAAACACTGGCCAAAATTAGCGTTCAATTTAGTTTTTTTACTTTTTCACACACAAACAAATATGAATGCTTACTTTGGCCAGTGTTTTCGACTAAGTGGCTACTAAAAAAGACTGGACATACCCCATATTGAATACCCTGGGTTGTCTACTTTAAAAAAAATATGTACATGTGGGGTGTTATTCAGAGATTTATGACAGATAATAGTGTTACAATGTCACTATTGATAAATTTTAAAATGTATGTTTTGAAACCGCAATATCCTACTTGTACCTATAGCCCTATAACATGCAAAAAAAAGCAAAAAAGCACGTAAACACTGGGTATTTTTAAACTCAGGACAAAATGTTGAATCTAGTTAGCAGTTTTTTTCATTCGATTTTGTAGATGAGTTAAAGATTTTTCAAGTAAAAGTCAAAAAACATGTACTTTTTTCAAGTTTTCATCATATTTTTTTAATTTTTTTAAAATTAAAATACATGAGATTATATAAATAATGGTATGTAAAGAAAGCCCCTTTTGTCCTGAAAAAAACAATATATAATTTGTATGGGAACAGTAAATGAGAAAGCGGAAAATTACAGCCAAACACAAACACCACAAAAGTGTAAAAATATTCCTGGTCGCAAATGTACAACATCGCAAAAACAGTCCAGTCCTTAAGGGGTTAAACTATATCCTTGCAATAATAGAATAACATACCCTCCTTAACATGTCATGGTGTCAGCCTCTCTGTCATTATAAGATGGAGCAGTATCTGTCTCCAAATCTCTCCTCTCTGTGTTCTCTAATATTTAAAAGAGCACCTATTTATACCTTAGGTGTCTTCATTTTAGGGTTACCGTAGTAACACTTCTTTTGTTTTTGTTCATTCTAGGGACCTCCCTTAACTTGGCAAAAACACAAGGCCATAACTAAAACATAAGGGTGCACACGTCATGGGAAATTCCCTGACTTAGGACAAGATGGCATCTTAAAGTCTGAACATCTTTATCTATTTAGGGTTACCACAGTATATTATGTACGGAAAGATTCATAGCATAGCCTTGAAGCTTGTTTCTGCATTATTGTTATTGTAATTCGTCTGGGACAAAATGGCGTAAACATACTATGCACTGAAAGTAGGTAAAAGGTTATTGCTTAAAGAATATGAAAAACAATATGTTCCATTTCTAACACCTTGTCAGTTTGCAATATCTCTTAAAGACAAAGTACACAGTTGGAGAAATACAATATTTGCATTTTGCCCATAACAGCCCTTTACTTATTGGTGACCAGAATTCTATCTACTAGCAGCTTAATCTCAAAATGTATCAAATTTGCACTTAAAATATGCTAGAATTGGTAAATGTATACAGAGTTTACACAAGGCAGGGAACAGAAAGATTCAGGATGCACCTAATGTCCACAAGAAAATCATGAAGCAGTTCAAGGAACGCAGTCCAAATTCTTTTCCTCTGATCAGGTGGTATAGCTTCTTAAACAGTAGATTAATGGTACACAAAAATACAAAATAAATGTTTTTAGTATTTTCAGGTAAGTATAAAGAAGCACAACATAAATTGGTGGATTTCACACTCACAAGAGTAGGAGCTAGTTACCAGTTCCAGGTGTGATAGCTTGTAGTGGTACAATCCTCACTTAAGGATATATGAGACACAAGTAAGTTGCTATATGTTCAAATATTGGTGCATAGTCATATATGAGAAGAAAATCTACAATAGTGCACTATAGTAGCTACTATTGGCTTGGTCAAAAACAAGAATAAGAATAAAAATTACAAGTTTGCAGCTTATAATGTAAGTTTAATGGGTAAGGTTCAGGATGGTATGATCCCCACCCAGTAGATATATTTGATACTGCAAGTTCATCCTCAGTTGGGACATAAACAGAGAAAAATAGTGTATCCTATTACCTGTGTTGTATTTTAATTAGTGCTTTTACCATCTGCACTATATTTTGGACTCTTTTATACTCTTTAAGTGCGCCATTATTTATAGACGTGCTTCAATATTGATTATTTTTCATATCCGATTGGCTCATCATCATGATAACTGGAAAGATGCAATGATCAATATTGATCAATGCAATGATCAATGTCATCAAAAGAAACTACACAAATTTTACACTGAAGAAATCCAGTCTCTAACTCCAGTCCAGATTCCCTCTCTATAATCAAGATGTCTGACAGCTCAGTGCTGACTATGGGAGGGGGGGAGGAGTCAATATTCTGAATTTCGCTATACGTAAGTCTAGTAATGAATGCATCTCAGCTTTAGCTTTGAATGAGACAGTTGTCTCACTGTACAGTCTGAAAAAAAAAACAGATAAATATGATTTGTTAATGTTTACCTGCTTCATCTTTCTTCTGTTGTCCACACCCACTCTTGGGGGACACTGGTCTAACCAATCAAATTCCTATCCCTTGAAATGCTGGAAACATGCACTGGGCTTGTCTTACAGATCTACACATATGCAGTTTGATGATCTCTACACCTTGTAATGTCCTGACAGGGGGAGAAGAGAGGGAGTCTGATCAGTGTGATCATGCAGAGGAGATTCCGGTGTCGGTTTTCTCTCTCCTGCTGCTGCACAATGACGCCATGTGTGGACTGGTGGGAAAATGAGATGGTGGTTAAGGGGGCTGAGAAATTCCCGCAGGCTTAGAGGCGTGCCTATCAATACAATCTGACCAAGTTTAAAGAACATTTAAAAAAATTATTACACACGTTTCATAGTTTTTCTTGCTTCATTGTGGTCTCTATTTTTGTTTAAATATGTTACCTGCTGTCTTTAAAAAAATGTCAAGTGATGCATGTCCCTTTAAAAAGGAATGGGCTTATGTTTTATTTCATAGATCCAATTTATTCACTGACTTCCATAAGTTGCCAAAGGTTAATATTGTTGGCATTGTCTTTTAAATTAACATTATGCAAGCAACTCATTATGAGCTACACATATAATCATGTTAAACCTTATACTGCTATTAAGGTATTGTTCTAAAATCAAGCATGCAGTCACCTCCCGCACATTTAAAGAAAGTTCAAAGAGGTACGCAAGTTGACGATTACATAATGAGGCCCAATAAATGTGATTTCTAATTGTACAAATAAGGTGTAAATGTTAACATGTGTGCAATGCATTAACTTACAAACAACAGTTCTACATCTGTAATTTAGGCGTGAGGTTCGTCATGGTTGTAGAATACAATATATAATTGCTGCTAATAGGAACATAAGTACTTTCATTTACTGTAAACTGCGCAAGCTATTTATATTGTTTATTTCTGCCTGCGTTGTCAGCGGCAACAAATAATTTAAATTTGATGTTAATTATGTTGCAACTAGATTAGCAAATCAAGATAGATTTAGTATTGCTGATCACTATAAAGCTGATTTCTCGAGCGCTCTGCAGAAATCGACACTGCTTTTTACAGCAATAAAAAAATAAATGTATATATATATATGGGAGAATAATGTTAACTGTAAGCGCCAAAGTTTTAGTAGTTTTAGCTAATGCTGCCAGAATTAACACTGATTGTTCGATATAGAATGAGCTCATGCAATGTTAAAGTCATTGGAATGAAAGTGTTATGGGGTGAGGAGGCCCTTGGGTGCCAACTTACCACAAGGGGTTAAATCGTAAACAAACAGTTAAACTCTGCTCACAAACATTCTCCACAGTCCAAGGCTTGAATCAGAAAGCATTAGACAGGAGTAATGGTGTCAGGCTGGCTAATGGCAGTTCAATGAATATGTCTATATATAGGAACTCATTCATTGACTAGGAACAGTTAGCTTGAGTTGGCTAGGAACAGTTAGCAATGAATGGGTTGGAAGACTGGTGCACTAAAGAGGAGGGGGCAGTCTGCCTTGGATGACAGGGAGCACCAAATCTCACCAGAGCTCTTGCTCACGGGGTGCTGCACAGCAGGAGCCTACGCTGCTACTCACAAGGTGCCGAATGGCAGGAGCCTACGCTGCTACTCACAGGGTGCCGAACGGCAGGAGCCTACGCTGCTACTCACAAGGTGACAAACGGCAGGAGCCTACACTGCTACTCACAAGGTGCCGAACTGCAGGAGCCTACACTGCTACTCACAAGGTGCTGAACGGCAGGAGCCTACGCTGCTACTCACAAGGTGCTGAATGGCAGGAGCCTACGCTGCTACTCACAAGGTGCCGAACGGCAGGAGCCTACTCTGCTACTCACAAGGTGCCGAATGGCAGGGGCCTACGCTACTACTCACAAGGTTCCGAATGGCAGGAACCTACGCTGCTACTCACAAGGTGCTGAACGGCAGGAGCCTACGCTGCTACTCACAAGGTGCCGAATGGCAGGAGCCTACGCTGCTACTCACAAGGTGCCAAATGGCAGGAGCCTACGCTGCTACTCACAAGGTGCCAAACGGCAGGAGCCTACGCTGCTCCTTAGCTGTCACTGCTTGCTGTACAGGCACCCTAAAAGGTTTCTGGAGCCAGAATATAACTTCATCCCTGCTTTGGCAACAGCACAGAGCCTCAGGAAGCTGGGAAATACAGCTCTCCCTGTCAAGGTAAGAACAAGGAGTCTGTGTGGACTTCAGTGTTAATAAAAGATGTTTATTATTTTATTATTTATTAAAATGCAAATTAAAGGAATATTATATACGTTTGCAGTTAATGTATTCCTCAACTGAATGCAGACAAGTTTCCAAATATAGGACATACAAAAAATAAATGAATACAAGAGCGCAACACTGTTTAAAATATCGTAACGTCAATAAATATAAACGTGATTGTGCATTCTCTCACATTACTGGGAGCTATAATACCAAATATAATTAATCCTTGCATACAAACCCTCCAATATCCATGACATTTATCTACACTTTATTACAATTCATACGATAAAACAGTAAAGTTAAAAGCCTCTTACAAGTGTAAGTGTGTGAGTGTATTGCACGTTTTCGTTGATCCAGAACCAATACTTAAGACTCAACAACTTTAGCTTAACCCCTTAAGGACACAGCTTCAGAAGCTTGACTTACGCTTAATGACACAAGCAATTTTTGCATTTTCTTGCTGTTTGCGTTCAACTGCAATTTGCATCTCTCTCATTTATTGCACCGACACATATTATATACTGTTTTTTAAAGGACAGAAAGGGCTTTAATTTGATATAACATATATATATATAAATGCTTACTTATTATAAAAAAAATACAGAAAAATGCAAAAAAAATGAAAAATATTGTTTTTTTTTACAGTTTTTGCAATAATAATGTGTGCATAATTAGTGCAGGTTAAGGAAAGTAATTAAAAATAAATTTATTTATTTGTTCTGATTTACAGAATATATAATGTGTCTGGGATTTTAAGTTTTTTTTGGTAGTTACAGGTCACAAAGCACAAGGAGTAAAATAAACTTTTAATGTGGAGCGATTTTAGAATTTGGTATGTTTGTCTTGTAAGCTTAATAGCCATAAAAGAAAACAAAATTGCCACACAAAAGTATATATTTATATAAAGTAGACATCACGGGCTATTTACCTAAGGTTGTTTTGACACTTTCTACGTAGCCATTTCACCGCCAACCTCTGCTAAATATTGGAGTAAAATTGTGTTCTTTTTGGTTTTTGGCACACAAACTTATAACAGAGAAATTCTCGTGTATATTTTGTAAAGTTGGTGTGTGCTATTCCTGTACAAAGTTTTATTTTGTGTTCAGTTACATCTGCTGAGTAAAATGACACCCCCATTGTATGTCTTTTGCACTATTTCGTGAAGTTACAGTGCCATACAGGATACATGTCCTTTTCAGTATTCACAGTAGAATTTTGAGAGATGAATTTAATGAGCCTTAGCTTCCATTTGGGGTATTATAACAGTTTGACTGTTCAAAAAACCCCCACAAAGGCCTACCATTTGTAAAAGTAGACACTCCAGGGTATCTTATAAGGTGCATATTGTGCCTTAACATGCCCCCATTTTTTCACCAATATATGCCAAAGTATGTGGTAAAAAATAATTTTGTGCATTTTTTACATACGGATTGCATTTTTGCTGGGCGTTTTGTATATTTCATATGTGCCACTAAGTTCAAACCCCCCAAATTATGCTCAGCTAAGTCTTCTGAGTAAAATGACACCCCATATGAATGTCTTTGGCACTATTTCGTGAAGCTACAGTGCCATATAGGAGACCTGTCCTTTACAGTATTCACAGTAGAATTTTGAGAGATGGATTTAATGAGCCTTAGCTTCCATTTGGGGTATTATAACAGTTTGACTGTTCAAAAAACCCCCACAAAGGCCTACCATTTGTAAAAGTAGACACTCCAGGGTATCTATAAGGTGCATATTGTGCCTTAACATGCCCCCATTTTTTCACCAATATATGCCAAAGTATGTGGTAAAAAAATAATTTTGTGCATTTTTTACATACGGATTGCATTTTTGCTGGGCGTTTTGTATATTTCATATGTGCCACTAAGTTCAAACCTCCCAAATTATGCTCAGCTAAGTCTTTTGAGTAAAAATACACCCCCAATGAATGTCTTTGTCACTATTTTGTGAAGCTACAGTGCCATATAGGAGACCAAGCCATATCCGTTTTTACCAAACTTTGAATTTTGACGCTGGGCCTATGTGCAATTTCCAAGCATCTTCGCAGGTTTTAAATTCAATCTACCCCACAAAGGCCTACCATTTCTTAAAGTAGACACCCCAGGGTGTTTCAAAAGGTATAGTTTGAACCTTAGCGTGGGATCATTTTTCCGCTAGCTTGTACCAGATGTAGTGGTAATAAGCGTTTTTTCTGCCTTTTTGACATACAAAGTGAGTTTGCACAGTATATTTTGCAAACCTTATGTGTGCTACGACTGTATAATACTTCATATGTTGCTCAGCTATGTCGGCTGAGTACAGCAATACCCCCGTATGTACCTTTGCCAGGTATGTGTGGACATCGGAGGGGCACATTTGGGACACAGCCATTCCAGTTTTTTTCAAACTTTGAATTTTTATGCTGTGCCTATGTCCCATTTTAGAGTATTTTACCAGGCTATATAATCCAAATTCCCCATAAAGCCATACCATTTCTTAAAGAAGACATCCCAGGGTATTTCAAAAGGCATATTTTGAACCTTAGCGTGGGATCATTTTTCCGCTAGCTTGTACCAAGTGTAGTGGTAATAAGCATTTTTTCTGCCTTTTTGACATACAAAGTGAGTTTGCGCAGCATATTTTGCAAACCTTATGTGTGCTATGACTGTATAATACTTCATATGTTGCTCAGCTATGTCGGCTGAGTACAGCAATACCCCCGTATGTACCTTTGCCAGGTATATGTGGATGTTGAAGGGGCGCATTTGAGACGCAGCCATTCAGTTTTTTTCTAACTTTGAAGTTTTACGCTGTGTCCATGTTCCAATTTGGAGTAGTTTAGGCGGTTGGTTATTGAAACTTCCCCACAAACACATACTATTTATTAAAGAATACACCCTGGGGTAATTCAAAAGGCATATTTTGAACCTTGGCGTGGGATAATTTTTTCTCTAGTTTGCTCCAGGTGTAGTGGTAATGAGCGTTTTTAAAATGTATTTTTTTACTTTTTATAACTTTTTTACTTTTAAAAACTAGTTTTTAAACTTTTGTTTTGCTTATAAATTTTTTTTAAACTTTCCTAAACTTTCTTAAAACTTTTTTACAGATTTAACATTTTTCTAAGCTTTTTTTTTTTACCGTTAACCCCTAACTAGCAGTACGCAGCACTAACAGTAAATTCCCCATTTTCCCATAACTCCCACCCACCCCAGCTAGCAAAATATATAGTTATAAAATATTTAAATTAATTAATTAAATAAATTGAACCCCTGAGGGTTAAAAAAATAAATAAAAGTTAATCCTCAGGGGTTAAAAAAAATTAGATCACAGTATAATACTGTGATCTCTATTTGATCGCTGTAGGCAGTGATCGACTGGCAGGGAAGGGGTTAATTTTTATTTGGACTAGGTAAAGTGTGTTTTTTTTGTTTTTTTTACTTAAATGTTATTAAAACATTTTTTTAAGCTTAATTTTTAACTTTTTAAAGTTTCTTTTAAAACTTTTTTTAACGTTAACCCCTAGTTAGCCTAACGCCAAATCCCCCAATTCCCCACTAACTTCCACCCACCCCAGCTATCTAAATATATAATTAAAAAATAATTTAATTAATTAATTTAATTAATTTAACCCCTGAGGGTTAAAAAAAAAAGAATTAACCCTCAGGGGTTAAAAAAAAAAATCAGATCATAGTAAAATGTAATCCCTGCCAATTGATCACTGTAGTCAGTGATCAATTGGCAGGGAAGGGGTTAATTTTTTATTAAAATGGGTAAGGGGGGGGGGACTTTAAATAAACTTTATTTTTTTTTACAGCAGGGGGCAGGATCAGCACTGATCCGGCTCCCTGCACTTCACACAGAACCCGGAAGTGCAGGGAGCCGGTAGGTGAGTATAGAGAGCACATGTGCTCGCTCAGACTTGTGGTCAGAGCGAGCACATGTGCTGGGCAGCTTGACCGGGTGCTCCCAGTATGCCTCTAATGCAGAGGCATACCGGGAGCACCATTAACCCCGCGATCGCCGCGATAGCGGCGATCCGGGGTTAATTTTACCGCGTGACGGACGAGGTCCGTCACCCGTCGTTAAGGGTCTCCCCTGTGTGACGGACCTCGTCCGTCACCCGTCCTGAAGGGGTTAAAGGACCTGGAACTATGCACCCTGATAACCTCAATGAGCTGACGTGGTCTGGGTGCCTATAGTGTCCTTTTATGTATTCATATGTGTTCACATGCATGATATCATATGCAACAGCACTGGGCTAACTTTGCATATGAATTAATGAGCACTTTTGTTATCACAAACACAAGCTAGGCAGCCCTTCACCCCCCTTCAGCTATATATTATAGGGCTACTATATTTAGGGGCTACTTAACCACTGCTAAATAGTGTGTTCAAAAGGAGTAGTTAATGAAGGTATGATTATAAACAAGTCCGTATCCAAGTCCTATGATGTTTTGTCCATATACAGATATCAGAAACACACCTGTAACCATGATCATAGGCTGTCTAAGGGACACACGACATTAGTAAGAACTAATGTAGCTTGTCTACATTTTTGGATGTTTTTTAGAAATTGAGATTTGGCATCAGAACGAGACATTGTGAGCATGCAGGCAGTTAACAACTCCAATAAAAACAGGAGAGTGAAATCAAATCATTTCCTCTGGCTCCAGAGCAGAAAGAGCTCTGGATCGGAAAGAAAAAAGTCTCC